TGAGAAAAGGCATTAGATTTGTCAGTTCAGACATATTTAGTGACTTTGGAGAGAGCAATCTTGGTTGAATGGTGATAATGGAAACCAGACTATAGAGAAGAGAGTTTGAGGAAAGGAAGTACAGACATTTATTGTCAACAGTTTTCTAAAGGAGTTTAGCCTGGCTAGTAGGGATAAATGGATGAAGTGAGGGGTTTTTTGAGGCTGGGAGAGACATGTTCATAGGCAGCAGGGAAGGATCAGTAGATTCCAGTGTATTAGCAGCGGTAGGAAGTGAGGAGAGGGAAAAGAGAGGGATGTAGGAACAGTATAAAGCTTTTTGAAATATAATGAAGTTCTGGATTGAGGTCAAGATGCCAGCATAACTCAGCAATATAAGAAAAGATTTGAAGAAGAGAGGCAGCATAGTTCAATGGATTTTGTGTTGGAGAACCCAGGTTCAAATCTCATTCTGCTACTAGGTGGCCTTGAGCAAGTCACTTAAGTTTACTGAACCCCAGTTTCTTAATCTGTAAAATTATAGGGTTGGATTCTGTGACCTCTAAGATCCCTTCTAGTTCTAACCCCATGACTAGGTGGTCTCTAAAGTCTCTTATGGGGCAGCTAGGTGGTGCAGTGGATAGAGTGCTGGGCCTGGAGTCAAGAAGACTCATCTTCCTAGTTTAAATCTGGCCTCAGACAGTTACTAGCTGTGTGACTCTGGGTAAGTCATTTAACTCTGTTTGCCTCAGTTTCCTCATCTGGAGAAAGAGATGGCAAACCATTCCAGTTTGCCAAAAACAAACAAACAAACAAAACCCAAATGGGGTCACAAAGAGTTGGTCACAACTGAAAATGACTGAATAGCAAAGTCTCTTCTAGCTATAAATCTACAGTCCTATGAGCCTAGTGTGTGTTTGCCTCCCAGTGATTTCTAACATAAAGGATGCTAGATTTATAATCAGAGTACCTGGATGCAAATTATGACTTGTCTCATTAACAGCACTTGTACTTACCTTTAATGCATCTATGCCGGTGGCTTTGTGTCTGCCTAGTCTGTGAATTTACATTTAGATGGATATTTTCATTTGCCTGACTATGTTCAATTCACTGCACATGACTAGATCTCTAGGGGAATGTCATGTTCCTTTTTTTCCTAGAGAATGTTTTTGGCTTGCTATGTTTTGGTTATGACCTGTGATTTCATCATTGTGGGGAATTGCCTATAAATAAATTCCCTCCGCCAATGCCCAGCCCAAATTGTCAACACATTAACAATTTATCATCTTCAGTAGATGCCCAAGGCACTGACAAGCTATCTAGAGTCCTGCAGCCAGTATGTGTCAGCGGATGACCTTGAACTCTATCTTCCTAACTCTAAGAAAACCAACCCTCTATCTACTATGTAATGAAGTCTTTTTGGCTGAGCCTATACTTGCTATGTATTCTTTTATCATTTTCAAAAGATTCATCACCTATTCTTGCTCTTCATATGTTGCTAGGCTCATCTTCAGACACGCAGATTGTTATTGGGCCTGGAATGAAAGTCTCTCCAGCCTTTCTACACCATAATGAGGCAGTAGAGAAGGACTCTTTGTGGAGCTAATGATAGGGATGATAATAACAGTTAACATCTACATAGTACTTTAAGATTTGCAAAGAATTTTGCACACAGATTATCTTACTTTGATCCTCACAGGAATCCTAGGAGGTAGGTACTATTATTATGTCTATTTTACAGATAAAGAAACTGAGGCTGAGTATATGCCCAGTATTACGCAGCTGGTGTCTGCAGAGGGACTGAAACTCCCACTCCCTTACTCCAGTACTCTATCCACTATGCCAGCTAGTTGCCTCTATCAATCTTCATGATCCAAAAAAATTTAAATAATCAAAAGGAAGAATGTAGCCAATTTCTGATTCCAGAATATTCACAGGCAGTTGAAAATGAATGCCACATCCTCCAAGCCAAGCATTTCTGCATACACATGAACACAATTGCCTTTGAAATTAGTGACAGCTTTCCATCAGTGGGTATGTACATAAATGAGAATAGTCAGATCTAATGGTATTTTTGAATTTTCAAACCAATTTTTGTCCCCAGGAATTCTCTTTCAGTATCAGGGCCAAATACTACTCTTGGATAGATGCTATTCCAAGAGTATATCCAAGAATCCCTAAACTAGAATTTGTTTTGGAGAGTAGATTGTGACTTTGGTTTGAGATCAAGGAAAGTAGAAAAAGAAATCTGAGTGATTCCATTTGAGTTATTATATAAAGTGCTAGTCTCAATTCAGCTGTGCATCTTATAAATCTCAGCTTGTGACCTTTGGCTCTCTGGCTAAAAGGAACAGTTGAGACAAAGTGATGCTGCATTCTGACAAATTACAACTGCAATTAAGAATATCAAAAGTTCACACTGTTTCCAAGTTTGTAAAGTTTTGGCTCTAGTGATGAAATATGTGTATATATGTATATTTATACACACACACATAAGTATTTTTGACAAAGAGAATAAAATCCATGGAGGATATGCTTATAAATACCAGTGTTGTGTACCTTTTGGGGACTGAAAATAGAGACTTCCAGGTCATTCATCTTTTAGGGTAGGTGAATCTGTCAAGAGTCACTTTGCTTTTGGGCCCAAGAAACTCCATCCCGATACTTCACTAAGATTATTCAGCCCCTACAAAATACCACTAGTTCTAATGAACTCATAACTTAAATAAATATCTGGAAACATTCCTGGCAATTACTGGATCTGCAAGTGCTGAAAATCAAATTATTAGAGAGATACTAGCTCACTTGGTCCACAGAAATCTATCCAAATTGGTTAGAGTATGGGGAAATGTCAGAAAATGATTTCTATTTTTATGAAATACTGGAAATTTGAATATGTATTTAAAGACTTTTATTACTGTGGGTAGAAACTATACAAATACTCATGTATTTTTTTTAAATTGAAATATTATAAAGTTGTGAGAAGACACCAGAAGGGGCCCATTTTGTTTGAGGGGATGAGTAGGAGTATGAGCCAAAAACAAGAGAATGTAGAGAAGTGGGTGGAGCTGAGGGATGTAATTGTTAATTGGCCCAAGCTGAAAGCTAAGCTCCTAGAAATGGAACTGGAAATGCAGGATGATTTAAAAAGAGGTTTGAAACTGGAAAACAAAAACAATCCATTCTAATGACTAGGGGACAGAACTCTGAGCAAGGAAAATGGCAAGACTCTTAAAAGCCATGACTTCTTCCAATTCTAACAATCTATGACTGGGTCTGAACACTAATGAAAGGTAAAGCCAGTGGAAGTTGACTGAAAGGAGGGGCCATTTATAACTATTGTTAGGGAGTATGTTCCAGCTCCTAAAATGATTACTGAGATAGGTCAGGGGTAAGAATATAGTCTTTTATGATAGAAGATGGGCTCAAACAGGGTGGAACTGAAAACACTTTGCTTTTTGTTTTATTTTACTTCTCCCCACCCCTTAATTTTCTAGCAAGGCTTTTCAACTTTGACCCCTTTTGTTTTGGATGAACCAAGGAAGGTGAGAGATTACTAGCACTGGGCCATGAGAGTTGGTGGAAGGAAGAATGAATTGGAGAATTAAAATTCCTTTGGGATCTACTTAAAAGCTGATGGCAGTTGAGGAGAGAAGGAGGAAAGACTCTGGAGAAGGGCTTGAGGGCTCAGCTGCAGAAGCTGTTCCCAATCTCTTAGGGAGGGTTTCTTCACACAATGCAATGAGTATCGGGTAGAATGTAAGCTCCTTGAAGGAAGGAACTTTTTTTTCATTTTTGTCATTGAATTCCCAGCATCTAGCTTAGTCTGTCACATAGTCAGTGCTTTGTTAATGCTCACTGAATTGAATTGAAAATGTGGAATCAATCAGTGGCAAACCTTTTAGGAAAATCATAATCAAATAATTAGGGAGTTAGTCTTTTTCCCTTTTTTGGGGAAGGTTTGTTGTAGAGATCTGTTACAGAGAACTGGACTCTAAATATAACAGGAAAAAAATACCTTACACACTAGACTAGGAACTGATAGGCCTAGGTCTGACAAAAGATAGCAGTTGTTGGATTTGTCTGACCTAGTTCAATGATGCAGTGCAATAATAGCTTCTTTTCTAATTGTACTAAATTGCTATCCAGTTTTCTATTACAACAGCACATCTTTTCAAAACAGGACCTCCATTTCTAGACATCACCATGATCCAAACCATTTCTACTCATCCCATTTCCAAAGATGAGTGGCTGTGGATAGATTGCTGGACCTGGAGTCGGGAAGATATGGGTTTAAGTCCTGCCTCTGATACTTGTGTATCAGAGCTGTGTGACCATGGATAAGTCACACAACTTCTTAAAGCCTCATTTTTCTAATCTGTAAAAGTGGGGATAATACTCCATTCTTCACAGGAATTGTTGTGAGGCTCAATGGACATAACGTAAATAAAATGGATTTTCCCCCCAATTGCCTAAACTCTTAATAATAGGATTAGATTGAATGTTCAAATAAGCCTGTCATTGTTGGAAAATGTAAATAAGGCTGTTTCAATTTTTCAGATATACACTTTTTATGACTATCTACATCTATGTGGCCAGTTAGAAAAATTGTTGTATTAGTCTCCTCTATTTCTCCCTCCCACACTTTCTTTTTAGATCTGTCATCTTAAAACATGGATCAACTGAGGAATTCAAATAATTGCTCAGTCAAGATAGTGAGGATGATTACAGGAAAAATGACCTAAAAGAAGAAATCCAGAATTACGGTGGTTCACAGAAAGTTAGGCTGACTCTTTTCCTTACCTGAAATATTCTTGTAGACAGGATTCTTATATCAATCAGTTGCTTTGGCTGTGTGTGTGTATGTGTGTCTTTTTTTTTTTTAAGAAACAAGCAGTCTTCAGTGTTTTTATAGCATTGGCTACTACAGAAACTATACTTCTGTTACTTCTTATCTTGGAGGGTGGACAAAATAAACAAATGGAAAATAATACTACAATGAACAATAAATGACGAAAAGCTTACAGTACAAAAAACAGTGTAAAAAGAAAGACAAGTTTAAATATTGTTGTGTAAGAAAGTGATGAAAATAATACAAGAATGAGAATAAGTAAAATGATAGGCTGGAACATCTGGGAAGGTAAATACAGAGACAAACAGAAGAGTTAATTAGTGACCATCCAAAAACTATCATCAAATAAGTGACAATCCAATACTGTATCTAGTAAAGGAGGGGAATATCCCATAGTTTTAGCCCATATTTTCAAAAAGTTTATAGCTGAAAACCCACTGTACATACTATTTTCTCTCACTTAGAAGTGAGAGGCACTCTCCCAACCCCCAGGGGACCATTTTTTGTCAAGCCAAATGCTCACAGTACCTGTGATTTGTGCCACAAGGAAACCCAAAGCCAAATGTTTGGTATGTTAAAGGAGAGGACTATTTTAAGCTTTCAATTTCAAACTCCGAGTTTCATCACTAAGCTAGTTATTCCTCAATCCACTCCCCCTCCCTTACCCTCCTCCATAGTTTGCCCTAGAAAGCTCACCAGAAAAGGTTTAAAATAACAGCTAGGGTCATATTGTTTCTAGCTATCGCTGGAAACATTAAAGTAATCCAGAGTTATGTGTCAGTAACTAACTGATCTTTTGATAAAAGCATATCAATTCCTCATCTCTTTTCAACACTTCAGCAAAGTGGCTTGGGTGGAGAATTCTTAAGGACTTCACTAATGGAAGGATGATATCATGAGTAACTGGTCTCATATAACAATGCCTGTCTTTCTATTCTATACTCAATTGCTGGTGTGCAATTGATGCGTATATGCCTCCATGTACAAGGCAATTTAAAATTTAAAGTGGCTAGTATTTTGAATTAAACACTAGTTCATCAGCCCCTGTTCTGAAACCAAGAGAGAAGGAAGAAGCTAGTTTTTTCTTTTACAGAAACAGTTAGGCCATATCTTTTTTTTCCCCTAAAGTTTATTTGCTTATCTTTTGGCTTACTGTTGATATAAGCCACAAGGTAAACCTACTCTCTTAGCACTACCTACTTCAGAGTTTGTCCTAGGACAGAATTATTCAAATGACATTGAAATCTCCTCCTCATATTATTTCCCCCAATGTACTTTTTAATTTTTTGTGTTTCATTTTCAGGTTCTACCTTCTAAGGAGGGTAAAATGACAAATCTATGTTCCGGATTCTTGGCAAACATATTTTAGCCTGTGGGCAGGCATTTCATAAAACAGTACCGCTTAGGAAAACATAAAGAGAAGTATGGGGGAAATAACCAATTCCAGGCTTTAAGATATCAAGAAATTTGGAGTTTAAAGTTTTATTATTAAGTAAAATGTAAAGAAAACAATTACTAAAAAAATAATCAAATTCAAGCATAATGAACATAAAATGATTGTGTGTGATATATGTACTTCAAAAGCAAACTCAATTGCTATTATCCAAAAAGAATTGGTGGCCTTTATCAAACTTAACTTGGAAGCCAATAAGCCAGTTGAGTAGATCACAACTAACCTGTAAATATGGACTAAATACATAGACCTCACCTATGTGGGAGTGACTTTTTCATCAACTTAGGATGCAATAGGAGGAACTGTACCTGACTAACAGACAATGGCTCATCTGCACTTCTGTCATCTGATGACTTTGGAACTTCTAGCCTGTCGATGAAAGTCTGGAGTTCTTTCCGAAACGCCTTCATCTGTGCATTGATCCGGTAAAGCAGTTCATGCTCCCGGATCCTGCTGCCATCATCTTCCTCGTCCATCAGTCCAAACAGATCCCCATTGGCCACATAAATTCTTGCCTCAGTGATGATGGTACTAGTGTCTGAGATCAGCCGGTCTATTGTCTTTCCCAGACGCTCTGCTTCTGAGCGGATGTCCTTCATTTGCTGCCGGTCTGTGAAGTTTTTTTGCCAGGTGGTCGGGGTTGGATAGAAGGATCTGGTTGGGGTGAGGCATCGGATATTTCGGACCTCTTCTGAGTCGCTCTCTCCACCAATGGGCCCTTCCCTTTTGCGGTGTGGTGGACGGGAGTCATCATCACTTTCTTTCTTTCCAGCATCACTTTCAGCATCACTGTCTCTGGGGCTGCCCCGAATCCCCAGGTGGGAGGCCAAGTCATAACGCTGCATATTGGACATAAGTACTCGGTTCTCATACTGCAACTGCATGACCTTGCCACTGAGTTCATTGATCTGCATACGGGCAGCCTTCAACTCCTCCTGGAGGGCTTCAGTTTTGGCACTGTCATGGTGCCTTGAGCTCTCATGGGCCCCAGACTTGTACTTGTACTTATTTAGCTCTGTTGTGATCCTTTTGTTTTGTTCCTCCAGGTCAGCCAAGTTTCTTCTGAGCAATTCTGTCTCATCTTCCACCAACTGCAGGTGTTGCCTTAACTCAGAGAGGGATTCACTCTGCTCCCTCATGAGGGGATTAGCTGTCCCATTGAAGTCATCTCCTCTCAAATCATCAAGTTCAGCTTTCAAGCCTCTGTTCTCTACCTCGAGTTCCACTATTTTCCTCCCTAGGATGTTGGCTTCTTCTTCCACCAGCCTCAGACGAAGCTTGAGCTCAGCCTCCCTCGTTGTGGGAGGTCCTCCAGCTTCCCCTTTAGGCAAAGGACTGTCCAGGTCTCCATAAAATGACCTGTATTTTTGGAGCTCATGCTCGAATCTGTCCTTCTCTTTATCAATCTTTGCCATTTTCTTTCGCATCAGAGCAGCTTCTTCCTTGACAAATTGCAGCTGGCATTTCAGATCTTCACTATCCTCCTCATTTTAAAAAAAAGAGAGAAAGGAATAGGAATTATTTTTATGTAAATCATGAAAATGAACAACCAAAAAAAGACACCTGCAAAGCTAATTTCCTTTCTCTCATGGCTAGGCTCTGATTTAAGGGATGTGTATGTGGAAGGAATGGGGGAAGGAGAAGTGAAGGAAAATGCCATTTGTATGCCAAGGAAGTCTGAACAACTACTTGGCAAATAAATGTTTGGGAAGCTGTATCTCTCAATGTGAGAAGACTATGATAAATAGAAATTGTAGGCACTCACATTAGCTAATCATTGTCTGTTGCAACTGTGTACAATTAAAATTTGGTGAAGGAGCTTACAACAACAGACAAATGTTAGAGTCAACCAATATCATCAATCAACCAGCATTTATCAAGTGCTTACATGTGCCAGGCACTGTGCTTATCACAGCGGACACCAAAACACAAGTAAGAGAATCCTGCTGTCAGGAAACTTATTATGCAACATGTTCACATATAAACAAGTACAAGATACATTTTCCTAAATACACAGTGATGGGATGCACTAACAACTGGGGAAATCAAGAAAAGTCTCTTAGAGGAAATGGCACTTTACTGAATCTTGAAGGGAATGAGAGGTTCCAACAGGTAGAGATGAGGAGGGAAGGCATTTCGGCTATGGGAAACAGCCTCTGCAAAGGCAAAGAAGTGGGAGATGGGATGTCATGTACAGGAAGGCATGCTCAATTCAGCTAGCTTGCAAAGTGATATATAATCAGCCAGGGAAGACAGAGTGGTATCAAACTGTCAAGTGCCTTAGATGTCAAACAAAGGAGTTTGTATTTTAACCTAAAGGCAATGGGGAGCCATCGAAACTTCTTAAGCAGAAGAGTGACATTTATGTATTTGTGCTTTAGGAATCTCAATTTCATAGCTGGACGAAGGATGGACTTGAGAGGGGAAAGACTGAATGCAGGGAGCAAAATTCAGATGTTGTTGTAATCATACATACAAGAGATGATGAGGCACTGAACTACGATTGTTGTGGTATAGGTAGAAAGAATAGGGAAGATGTGAAATATATTAAGAAAATAGAATAGACAACTGATCAGATGGGATGGAGACTGAGAGTGAAAAATCAAGGCTAATTCCTAGGTTAACATTCTGGAAAATGAGAAGAAGGGTGATGCACTCAACAGAAAAAGGGAAATTAGGTGAAGGAGCATATGTTTAAAAGAAAATATAATGAGTTCTGTTTTCAGCATGTTGAGTTTGAGATACAGACGGGACAATCAGGTGGATATAGACAGTAAGCAGCTGAAAATATGGGACTAGAAAGCTCAAGAGATAGAAATGGTTGGGGTAGATCAAGGAAGCAGAGATCTCACCTTGAAAGATATCACAGACTTACTAAAGGAAAAAACTCTCTAGACTTCTAAAGAAAAAAAGCTTTCTTTAATGTATTTGGTGCTGTGACTATTCCCCTTTCTGGGCCTCTGTTTCCATGTTTGTAAAATGGGGATAGCAATATTTGACCATGGACTTCATGATGTTCTTGTGAAGAAAGAGCTTGGTAAACTGCAAAGCACCATATAAATGTAAGCAAGCTATTTTAATTATGTAATGCTTGTTATGCTAAAAAAGATGAACTGGATGGCAACTAGCTTGGTGAGGGGTCTCAAATTCATGTAACATGAGAAATTGTTTAAGGAATTATGCATTTTAAAACTGAAAAAGGAAAAATTATTGCATGGGAATATGATAGTTGTCTTCAAGTACTTGAAGTGTTTTCTTGTGGAAGAAGTATTAGACTTGTTTTGTTTGGCCTTGGCAGGCAGAAATAGGAGCAATATAAAGAGATTTCTGAGACAAATTTGTTGAGAAAAATTTCTGAACAATTATAGTCATCCCAAAGTGGAATGGGGTGACTTGACAAGGGATGGCTTCCCCATCATTGGAGACCTTCACACCCAATTTGGATGATGATTTCTTGGGCATGTTATGAAAGGAATGTTTATTTGCTTTTTTTCCCCCAGGTGTCTATTGGACTAGATGGCCATTGAAACTCCTACCAGCTCTGAAATTCTGTATAATTATTATATATCCTGTTCCCATTTTCTTTTTTTTTATGGGGTTCAGATACAAATGGTCTTGGCACAGAGAGTTCTACTATTATTGTTGTTAGGTTTTATTTTTATGTTCTGCAGACTATTGCTCAGGCAATAAAAGTCGTATTATAATCAGTTTCCTCGTCTATAAAATGCAAATATAATGCTGGCCTTCACTACCAGTTTGTATTTTTTTGTAAATGTCAAATAAGTTTTGAGAGGTGGTGCTATAACAAACAAAGAGCAGGGTTTGGAGTCAGGAAGACCTGGGTTCAATCCCTGCCTTTTTCATACACAAGTTGTGTGTCTCTGGGTAAACCACTTAATCCCTAGTCAGAGGTGTGCTTATCCAGTTTGTATGGGCTCTTGAGAGCTGGTAGATTTTAAGTGTGAGCATTTACACCTTAGAAATCAGCAAATGTTACAAATTAGAGCTTGATTTATTGTTTTGTTGATTATCCAGACTTAAGAAAGTAATGGAGAAGATTTCAATAAAGGAGATTAAACCTGGTATTGTGTTGTGCTTACATTTCCTCCCCTCCCCCAGAAAGCCAGTTACTAAACATTTACCAGTATACCCTTGTCTCTAGTACTAGGCCACTCTCCAGAACTACAAATTGCAGGGCATGCCTAGAACTGGTAGAGGGTGTTTTCTCACCAGGAATTCCCAAAGTAGATGAAGTTTCAGGTCCAACACAAAGCCAAAAATAAATAGGCTTCACCGATGGGAGTGGGCAGTGTATGTAGCATATATTGGCAAGGAGGCAGCATATGCTACATATGGTAAACCACTGTAAGATGACTAAGAAGCCACAGTAAAACAGACAAACTTAGAGACTGAGGAAGAAGAGGAGAGCAGGGACGTGATATACAGAGTCAGATGGAGAAAAGAGACCTACGAGAACAAACACAGTAGCTGCAAACATTATCTACAGGAAAAAGGAGAATTGAAAGGGAATGATGACAGGAAGAAGCTGGTAATTGGGAGTAAGATGATGAAAATGAAGCAAAAAAATGAGGGAGAGGAAGAAAAGGAAAAGAGATACAGGTAATGGCAGCTTTTTCATTTTGTTCTCTGTAAAATAACACAGAAGGAGATGGGAATAAAAGAAAGGAGACAAGAGAACCAATATAGCCTTTGTATGGGGAATAGGACAACTCAAGGACTATTTCAGAAGATGAATTATTGTGGAAACCGTTTTGTGAGGTGTGAGAAACATTGCTAAGCAAAAAATCACATGATGGAGACCATAGTTAACCAAGGTACATATGTGTAGTAGTTCAAATGTCCAGAAGAGAGAAGCTTGACAGAAACTACAGAGCAGTAGAGAAGTCATATTTCTTTTGAAGGCTATTGCACTAAAAAATAGAAGGCCCGAACTTTTGAAATAAATTCACAGTGTTTTTGCATTTAGCAAGTTTAGGTAAAGCATTTGCTCATTATTCTCAGGATTGAAACCATATCTAGAGGAAGCATTGTGACTTTAGTTTAAGAGATACTGTGACATATTAACAGTCTCAAGAAAAGGATCAGATTAGTCTGGATTTTTGAAAGTATAATATAAGTGGGAAATCAAACCCTGGAAAGTAGAAGATGGAAATAAAGGCATTTTTCTTTAAATAGATAAAGAAGAATCATAACAAGTAAGGGAGACAGTCTAAGTCTCAAGCTCAAACAATCATATGAATCTAATATTAAAGCATTCCAAGGAAGCTTTCCATAAAAACAGAATAATGAACACTTTTTGTGGGAAATAAGAATACTGTATATTTATACAAACTGTCCCAAAGCATATCATGATTAAAGAAATGCTGATGTAACTTCATTAATAATAACTAACATTTCTATAGAACTTTAAGGTTTACAAAATAACTTTATTACTCCAATTAATCTTCACAAAACCATGAAATAGGAATTATTATTATGTCCATTTTATAGATGAAGAAACTAAGGCTAAGGGAGGTTAAATGATTTCCCAAGTGGCACATGGCTATTAACTGTCAGTAGTGGGATTTGAATTCAGATACTATTGACTTAATATCCAAAAGTCCTTTCTACTACTCCATGATAACTACCAATAAGGTGAAACTGGGAGGGAACTGACATCTTTTGCCCAAATTGATATTGGGAAGCTACCCAGCTGTCAAAGAAAGATCTAGTAATATGTAGATACTTCAAAAAAGAGAAGTAGGAAAAATGAAGAAAATGATAAAATAGCTCACATTCTTATAGAACTTTAAGGTTTACAAAGTTCTTTACAGATGTTATCTCTTTTAACCTTTAAAACCACACAGTAAGGTAGCTGCTATGATTATTCCCATTTTAAATGTGAGGAGAATGAGGCAGATAGAGGTTAAATGACTTATTCAGGGTCACACAGCTAGTTGTGTCAGAGACAAGATTTGAACTCAAGAAGATGAGTCGTCTGACTCCAGGCCACACACTCTATACACTGCCCACCTAGCTGCTCCTCACTGTTCTACACTTCTTGATGACTTCTTTCTGTGACTCCTTTGCTATCTCTTCTTCCTCCTCTCATATTCTTAATGTATCTATCTTAATGCATCTGTATCAATCTGTCTACCTAGCAGATTCTGGTTGGTAGAGATCAGACTAAGATTAGTGATAGATGAGAAACGGGGATTCTGCTCCCTTCTCCCTTCCCAAGAGAGTTTCAGGAGCTGGCTTATAAGAAAATGGGAAAAACCCCAACTATATTAAAATAGGAAGCTAGGTTGCATAGTGCACAGAGCATTGGCTATGGAGCCAGGAAGACCTGAATTAGCATGCTACCTTAGACATTTACTAACTTTGTGACCCTGGGCAAATCATATAACAACTCTCATCCTCAGTTTCCTCATCTATAAAATGGGAATAATAATAGATCAAATGAGATAATACAGATGTAACA